TCTGCTTTGTCCTCTGACCCTATCCCCTCTCATGTGTTCTCTCTCTCTAATTCTCTCTCTCTCAAATAAATAAATAAAATCTTTAAAAAAAAAAAAACACTGAGGGAGATGATGGTAGATTCTCATCCTTTCAGTTTTATTTCTTGGAAGTCTTGAGTTGATAGATAAGAGGATAGAAAATATACAATTCATGTGCTTCTTACTCCCCTTGAGTTTCCTCTTGGTATCAGCTTAAATTGTTAATTTTTTTCTTCTTCATATTTTCCCCTTACTCTCTTCATTATTTATTGAGTTGAAGGTTTCTTTTTTTAAAGATTTATTTATTTTAGAGAGAGAGAGTGCACGCGCACACACATACACACACAAGTAGGGGAGAGGCAGAGGGAGAGAGAGAGAATCCTCAGGCAGACTCCCCACTTAGGGTGGAGCCCAACATGGAGCTGGATCCCAGGACCCCGAGACCATGACCTGAGCCAAAATCAAGAGTCGGCTGCTTAACCAACTGAGCCACCCAGGTGCCCCTTGTTAAAGTTTCTTGAAAATAAATATCCCTTCATTTAAAAAAAATTTTTTTACATTAGGTATTTAAATTATGGAGCTTTTTATTCTACAGAAACCTAAAAGTCCTCTATTAAAGTTTAAGAGTTGACAGTGATCTCAGATAACAGAATCAGTATGTTGTAGACTTACATATGTCTGCCAAATTTCAAATGGTTATGTCACTAATTTAGATGAATCTTAGATGCCACAGTTTTTTGAAATATCTACCATCATCAGGAACTTCTTTATAGTAAGGGCATAATCATGGGAAATCCTTATTTCACAGGTCTCTCCTGAGTTTTTACTTACGTTTCTGCATATCCTTGCCTCTATGAAGCATATTTGAAGTTGTAAGTGAATTGGCTAAATCCAAGAGAACCCTGGTTGAATTTCTTACCATTTCTTCTTGGGTGGTCTTTCAGACACAATTTCTTTTAATGACTCATTCATTTGAATGCTGATTGGCTTTGGTTGAGAGCCTCAGTTTGTTTCCATCCAGGAAACTTTGCTGTCACACTGAATTCTGTGAATATTTTCAAGGAACATCACTACATGTTCCCAGCTTAGCAACCTAATTGGAAATTTGGAGTATTTGGGAATGAAAAGATTGCAAAAAATTTTGGTTCAACAGCTTCTTCGTTAAACTCTCACAAACACTTGTTAATGTTATACTATGTATTGTTGATAGAGTCATGATTTTGTGTGAGGTAGACTAATTTTCATGCCTTTATGCAAGAGCACATAGCAAAATTATATTTCCTTCAGTGCCTTATTTCCTGCTATATGCCCAGCACTGGGAAAACAGCAGTAAATAAGACACAATTATTCCTTCATGGAATACAGTACAGGGTTGGGAAAAGACATTAAATACATGGTAGCTCAACTGCAGTTATGACAAGTATGATGAAGGTAAAGTTCCAACAATAGGAGGCCAGAAGGGTGGGAGGAGTGGGAGATTATAAAGAGCCTAATTCTTACAGGAAGTCACTTTTAAGCAGAGAACCGAAGGATCAATTGGGAGGTTCTAGACAGACAAAGAAGAAAAAGAAAAACATTCTAGGGAAGAGAACAAAAGATGCAAAGGCCCTGTGGTGGGAAGGAGCTTTGAAGGGGCCAGAAAAGAAGCTGGCACAGCTAAGGTGGAATTGACTGTGTGGTGAGTACGTCACGTTATTCAGGGACTTGTAGAAAGTGTCAGGGTTGGAGCTTATTCCAAAGAGTGTGCGGAAGCTGTTAGAGCTGAGTAGTGATATGACTGGATTTGTGTTTTTGTTTATTCTTACAATCTTTGAGCAGTAGTATACAGTCTTTTCCATTACCAGTTATCTCTTTTAATTTTTACCTGTAAACCTCAATTTTGAAAGATTGTATCTGCCAGTGAAAAGTTTTTCTGTTTCCCCATTGGATAGCAAGGAAAGACAAAACAACTATTAGCACATGCAGTAATTATTAGAGGACTGGTATTTCTACTCTGAGTTGGTATAATTACGTTAGATTCCAACTAGACTTTCTGAAATTGAAATTTTGTTTAAAGATTTATTCATTTATTTTTTAATACATTTTTTAATTTAAATTCAATTCATTAACATATAGTATATTATTAGTTTCAGAGGTAGAGGTCAGTGATTCAT